CCTGCACAATGCACATCTAATCACGCTCTTTCTAACGCACTTTAAATTATCTCACACCTTTTCCTTTTCACAGAGATAAGAAGCCATGAATATTGAAACAATAGAAATTCGTTAATGAGCTTTTGGTAATTTGGAAGAACTACGAGCAAAACCAAGTTTTAAAACCTATTAACAAAATTCTATTGTTTAAATACTCAGAGAGGATTTTCTCGACCAATGAAAGAGCTGCAACCTCGACACTCCTGCACAATGCACATCTAATCATGTTCTTTCTTACGCACATTGAATTATCGCAGGACTCCTCCTTTTCACAGAGATATAGAGCCATGAATATTGAAACAATAAAAAAATTTTTAACGTGCTTTTGGTAACTTAGAAGAACCACAAGCTTAAATGAGTTCTTAGCTCATTGGAAAAATTCTCGTCTCAATGCTCAGAGGGGACTTTCTCGGCCCACAGAAGTGCTGTATCTTTGACACTCACACAATACACAGCAATACATGCTTTTTATTACGCGTTTTAATTTGACCCAAAACTCTTCCTTTTCATAGAGATTGAAGCCCATGAGTATTAAAAGAATAGGAGCTCGTTAATGAGCCTTTTGGTAACTTGGAACAACCACGAGCTATACTAAGTTTTTAAACTTGTTTATTTACAATTATCTAAAAGATAAAATTATCTCACTTTAGACTGCTTTGTCAGTCTGGTATCCAGTCACCTCGCCACCAAGCAGACTCGCCACCAGCGAACTCGCCACCAAGGAACGATCTCGCCACCAAGCGAAGTCTTCTCGCCACCAACCACCAATAAAGAGATTAGTCGAGGACAGTAGGATGTTCGGCTGATAAGTCTGTACTCAAACTTTATAAACGTATGTTGTCGAAAGCACGTTCGAAACCGATAAGTTTGTTCGCTTGTCTGTACTCAAACTTTATAAACGTTTGTTGTTCGTTCGCATTTAGTTTTAATACAACTGCTATCGAGTTTCATTTCATCACTTATTTCTTCCCATGAAGTTTCATTTTCTCTCAAGTAAGTTTTTATTCCTCGCATCTAGTTTTGCAATTTCTCCTCGCTTACGTGCAAAAGACAAACACGATACGTTTCGATGTCAATGAGTTAGGAACGGAACACATCTAACACGTCGCTGAAGGTCATAATTTAAATACAGACAAGCGCACAAACGTATCGGCCGATTTTAATTGTGCTCGTTCGAACATCCTACTCTCCTCGAATACTTTATTCTAGTTTATCTCTTTATTGGTGGTTGGTGGCGAGAAGACTTCGCTTGGTGGCGAGTACGTTGGTGGCGAGATCGTTCCTTGGTGGCGAGTTCGCTGGTGGCGAGTCTGCTTGGTGGCGAGGTGACCGGTAACCGTCAGTCTATATGTTATTATAACACCTGTTACGTAGAGAATATCTCCATTTCTTATTCGAATCTCTTTATGATTACTTAATACTGATCTGTAGCGGCAGGTTCAAACTATAAAAAATTAAGAATTAAGTTTAGATACACAAACTGTAAACAGCAAATGAATACAAACGAAGCGAAACGTAAAAAAAATACGTACATTGATAACATCCAGTATAAATGCAAAATTGCCCTCTGAAATAGAGAACAGCGCCAAGCGCGACTATAGGTAAACTAAGAGAATATCAGCGCTTGAGGTAAACTGACTCGAAAAGTGATTATTCGGAAAAGAAACTGGCTTTAAATATAAGAGGACTGCGAAATAACGTGCGGTATGAGAAACAACCGAAAAGATGTAACCTACGAAGAAAAACGCTAACAAACTTAACAAAAAACACTAACGAGGAGGTATGAAAAAATATAAAGAACCAAATAAATGAATACGAATTACACGAAAAATAACTAGAAAGAGCTTAGATCTTACACTGAATGATATGCCAATTCTGATTGGTTCTTACTTACGAGGTATTGGTAAACAGATAAATAGATGACGTCACCATTGACAGCATTTTGCTCTATCGTCATAAATAACAAAGTGTGCCTTGTGCGTCACTTTTCTGTTCTTACCAAATCTTGGCGTCATCTGTGATCATTTACTGAACAGGCACACCACAACCTGAATCTAATTTTCAAACGCATTATGATTTTCACACATTCATGCATTTCAGAGTTTTAAAAACAACATCTGCAAAATGACCTCAAATGGCAACAAATATCAGAATTCTACAGGCTTCTGCTTTATTGAAAATCAGGACTACTTTTTTTCAAAACTAATAAACTTACCAATCTGAATTAACAAGCAAACCAGATGGTGATTCTGATAGAAGCAGTCAAATGAAATCACTCCAATCATTCTGATAAGAAACATATTTTCATGGGAACTTTCTATATTCAAAATATTACAAATTGGAAAAAATGTTTTCAGAGACATAGGGAATCCACCGATAATTTGGCATTTGCCTCCGTTGTTTACGTGTCTCCATCTCATTTTTCTAGGACGAAAAGAAAACGCTCAGTCATCACTTGAGGAAAAAGGAAACGTAAAAATCTCAGACGGAACCTCCATACACCGTTTTCCCATTAAACCCACTTTGTTGCACAGGCATCCCAGGTTACCTCAGTGCTACGCCCATAATGTATATGAGAATTTCGGCAAATGGTGAACGACCTTATCATAAGTTATTCAAATGCCTTTATCTCAATTCAGCATGTAGTTGACACCAGCCTGACGGTAGCTTACCATTCTCCTTAAGTGCATCATCACGTGATTTTTTTGAGCGGACGACTGGGTAAAACGTTTATCACAGTAACTGCACTTGTAAGGTTTGTCTCCTGTGTGAATCCGCACATGCGCGGAGAGGTTTCCTGATTGAGCGAAGGCCTTGGGGCAAAACTGACACCGATAGGGCTTTTCACCTGAGTGAATTCGCATGTGAACCTGACAAAAAAATTAATTAGGTCAAGGTCGTCAGTAACAGATTGTGATTGAAATGGAAAATGGTAAAAGAACAACGACTTATGAAAATGAGAGTGAAAAAGAGAGGATAGACGGAAACGAAGATGAGAAAAGGCGAGTGAAAACGATAATGTTACAACTAATAATGATGATGATGGTAATTAAATCAAATTTTGAAGTAAGTCTAAAATCAAATAAACAATTCACCCGTAAGGATCCGAGCCTGGAAAATTTGTGGTTGCAAACAGGGCACTTTGGCCGAGTATCCACCTTTTGGTTTTCATCAACGAATTGGATAACGGAGGGTCTAGGAGCGAGATTTCCTTTCTCCGGGGGGGAACTGACGACCTGGTCAGTTAGGTCAGAGTTGGTAGATGTTTCATGAGCCACGTGAACAAACTTACAAGGACTGAAAAACAAAATAAAACTAAAAAGTTAGCATGACCACGTTTTATTTTCCTTGGGTAATTTTATTCAAGGAAATTTAAAAAAACACCTACGCAGCTCTCACTGGCATCATCCACTTTCCGCTTGGTGTGCACTTAATATGGGGCTCGCCGGGTAAGTTTCAATGAATGTCTTGAAAGCAGCTTCATAATTACTTCCATGCGACTCAAAATGCCTTCAGCCCCATGTTCCCAAGTTTACTAAAACTTGGCTATCTTCTGTAACGTTTATCAATATGACGAAGGATCCGATTAAATACGACCAGAGGAAATTCGCAAAAATTTAGATATGAAACTGGATATGGTTTTAAATCCCTTTATTTTGGGAAAATCTAGGAAAATCGCTTTAAATGTGATATGCTTTCCCTGTTACTTCCATACTGCAAGCCATTTTTAAGCTGAAAAATATTTGTCAAATTTTGAATTCATCGTGTAAAAACCCAACATAAGACTTGACTCACCTGTGTGCCATAGGCACGTAATAAAAAGCGTGGAATGGAATTTGATCCAGTGACGTGGTTTTGATGTAGGACGAATCGCTCCCTAAAATATGAATCAAATATAACAAACGAGAAATTTACCATCTCCATCTTTGCATTACATAACTTTGGGTTCTTCATGGACCCACCTCGCCCTCCCTAGTCGTTTTTGGTGGCCCTCAGTAATTTCAAGATATCAAAACACTGCTCGGGTTAAAAGTAAAAAGCCAAAGAACGCATGAATGGTGCAATGGAAAGGGTGAAACCCTTAGGAATCTAACGGATTCCCAGGTGATACTCAGTAGCACATGGAGTTCACTAAAACGTAAAAGAACTAGAGATTACGAAACAGTCTGCTGGGACAGTCGAGATGCAAGATGCTTGGGCAGTAGAGATACAGGATTTTGCAATCATTAACTGCTAAATGATAGAAGAAAAGAATAAGAGAGATGGCAAGTTTTAAACTCGGTAAAGAAATAGAGAAAGATGTTTTTCGTCTTGTCACGAGCGTGGGACAAAGTTAAAATTCTGTGTCCCCATGAGGAATCACGAGCGTGGGACAAATCAAAAATTCTGTGTCCCCATGAGGAATCGAACCTCAGACCTTTGGATTCCCGATAAAAAAGAAGTAAGGTTATCTAAAGGTGACACTGATTTTAAATACTGATGAACACGCTATGCGAATGGTCCGCTTCATGTTTTTTCTTTTTTGGAGGGCAAAAGCCTTCTAGACTATTGGCGCGGACACCGGATTACCGCGACGATCGAACTTCTAATCAAATTTATGTCAATGCTTTCGCATTTATTTCGCTACTTGGCATTCTTTTTCAAATCAAATTGTTGGCTGAGGGCTTTTTGAATTTGGATAAAAGACGGTCCACTCTAACAAACCATAGGTGCGCTACCAAACAAGCTAACGATCTTAGCTGATTCAAGATAAAAATCCTTCTTCACAGTTATTTTATTTCCACACTCAACAACAGCGATCTGATTTTGTTTCGTGCATGACCGAAGGAATTTACCAAACTGTGGAGGAAAAGAGAGAGCCGAATAACGTTTTTTCAATATTGATCCCGTAAATAAGGTTTGATTTAAACTTAAAAAAACGAGTTGCATGCATTATGTCTTAAACAGAAATACATATCAAACGCTGCAATACCTTGATATTCCTCCATATCTTGTGGTAATCAGGAGCGGGAATGATACTGAAATGAACAAACAACCCAGAGGTAGTTTACACGGTGAGAATCATTGCGTGCAGAACAGCGAAGAACTGAGGTCAGAATAAGACACATTTTGCAATAAGGCTGAGATCTCATTGGCTGACGCAGTGACCCTGCCTCGTGATTCCAACAGATGATATAACATTTTTATGACAAGCTTTTTCATTGGTTGATTCAATTTTCTGAAAACGTGAACAAACATGTGAATAAGGAATCTTACTGAGCCCCGACATCATGGCCAATCAGGAAACGGCATTCGTCGCACGTGAAAAAAAGCTTGCCCAGACTACAAAGTAACACCGACAGTGAGGTAAGACGCAAGGGACTAACCCTAAGCAAAAACAAAAATCAAAATAAAGATAATAACGTCAAGATAACGCAAACGACTCAAAAAATAACAAGTAGTAACGAAGGCAAATCAACCAGCAGTACTGCGGCATCCACGACTTGTTGCTATTTGCACTGAAAAATCATATAAATTCTTACCAAAATGGCTGAAAAACACTTACGATTTATTTTTGATATTCACATCCGTTGATCAAAGATTGGAGATTTTGTTGAACGCTTTCACAGCTTGCTGTGTCTCAGAGCGTTTTTCACAATTGTTTTCTCAATTCAGACTTCACATTCCTTGTTGCTTTTAAAATATTTTCCCCATTGTTCAACGATTCGTTCTAAGTTTCTATCGTACCTTTGCTTTTTCACGTTCTTGCGTTAGTGGGAAAATACTTCATATTTTTATTCTGTAAATTTGAGAGAGAGCCGCACGATTTCACCCATTTTTTTCTTGAATAACAAGAGCATAAATTTTACGTCCTTAATTTGATGAGAAGAAAGGGTTGACCGCTAATTTCCGCTCTATTCGAGCAGTCCTTTGTAGTAAGTCACTCTTAAAAAGTGTCATGCGTCTAAAAACGCAAATGGACGTATTCATCCGTCTGACCGAACTTAGGCAAACATCTGGTTATGCGTCATTTGTATTATGACGGGCACAAGACACATAACGCATCGAGACAAATTATCCTTCGTACTGCATATTAAATGCACCTCAAGAAAGATAATACGTCAGGACATGTGATGCCGCTGTGTCTCAAGACGAGCAACAGACGAGGTACGTTAAAAATGAGACCGTGTTATAAAATGGCCAGCGGCTGTACGCCAAAGAAAACTACATGGCAGATGTAAGAGTAACTTGGACTGAGAAATCGGCTCTGAACAGAAACAAACCTCAAGTATTTTGCCTTCCCCCTGGCAGACGAGGAAAACGATTGTTGACATAAGAGCGGGTTCTGAGGCTTCGCTTTCGAAGTTCATCTCTCTAAGAAAACGTTTCTTTACCATTTCCTCCCTCTTTTTTTGCATGCACGCTTTGATAACTCCTCTTCAGCTTTTCTTAAACAGGAGAACCGCCAGTCTGTTTTGCAGTTTTCAACGAGGCGTCATCTTAAATTTTACCCTCCCCTTGTACTGGTCTCTTCTAGTTCATCTTGTCCATCGTCCTGTCTTCACACTAGACGCAGAGCGCGAGAGATACATTATCTTTCTATAAGGATATTGGGTCCTCCTCTGGTATAAAAACAGCCAGTTAGGACGTGTGGAAGATAAAATTCATGACATGTATGTGTTGTAAATAGAGTAACCATCTTTTAAACCGTTGTCATCATTTTTCATACTTCCATGTCCTTATCATTTTAATATCAATGGATATTACTACAATGGTTATCAATCAACCATCTTGTCCTGAAATTTGTCATTCTAAGTTTCATATCTTCTTAAATAATACACCAACCAGTGCTACATTTTAACTATAACGCTCCCGCTGGCCTTTCCGATGATAAGGGAAATAAAAAATGCGAAGCTTGCCAACAGTTTATTGCTGGAAATTATGAGCTATATGTGCAATTGTTATAAAACAAATTGTTGTACCCTTAAATTATAATCATATCGATCTTAACATCTGTCATTAGTACCGAAACGTGTACGTATATATTTGTATGTCCTACGAATCAGAGGCAAAGATATTAAAAAAAAAATTTCGATCGTACCTTTAAATACCCGACACGTAATTGGTGCAAATTTTTACAAATATGATAAAATTAATCATGATTCTGTCTAATCTTACAGTACATCGTCTAATCTAAGCCGACGAGAGCCTACATATCAGATGATCTTGTTGTTATTGATACAAAGGAGAGTGTTTCCCATGTATTTTATTGTGCTGTTTTACAAAGCGTCTTTTAAAGAGGAGCCAAGCTACAGAAGTATCTTATGTGTGATCTGAAGCAACATTAGCTTAACCTCTCCTCTTCTGATTAATCAACACATTTTGCTCCTTAGGATTTAAAACCGACTTACTCCCCTGCTTTATGTATAAATGTTTTCGTCCGAGCCATATCTATCACAGACAAACTCATCTTTATTGTACGACTCCTCTCATGAAGTTTCATATGATTGTTTCTACTTGACTTTTGAGTAAACCGCCGACCACACTCACTGCAGGCGAAAGGCTTTTCTCCGGTGTGAATGCGCATGTGTACTGCAAGGTTCCCGGATTGAGTGAAGGCCTTGGAGCATTGAGGGCATTTATATGGCTTTTCACCGTTGTGAACCCGTGAGTGAATCTAAACAATAAACACATTCGACACTTGATGACAGAAATAAAATCAAATTTTTTCTGAACACTTCTAAGGCTTTATTATAGCTTTATCATGGACACCATGAGAAGAAAGTAGATAAATTGAAACCATTTGATAAAATTTTAAAATATCCATTCTTAAGATCGAACTCACTTCAGCAATCCATGATTATTACAAATTTAACCCTTTACTCCCAAGATGACCTTAGTAATTCTCCTTACTGTCTGTCATACAGTTCTTATGATGTGAGTTTACAGAATTGGGTATTGGATCACCTAACAATCTAAAAATTGATATTTGATGTATTTTCTCATCACCTGTCTGCTTGATATTATACTGATATTGTACGGAGAAATTCTCTCTTGATCATTCACGAAAATTAAAGGTTAGGAATGTTACCTTTAGCGTTCCTGGCCTGGCGTATGTTTTCAAACACACAGGACACTGCATTCGTTGTTTTTGTGTCTTCTTTGATTCAAAATCTTTAGGCATGTACGTATCTTTTTCTTTATGTTGCTGCGTCATCACTGAACAGACAATAGCTGTCTCGTGTGAAATCATCGGATCCTTATTTGGAAATCTTATTACACTTTCCCGTTTCGGTCGCCGACTGCACGACGAGGGGTCATTACAGTCATTTATCTCTTCAAGTCTGCCATGGTGATATTGATGTTGAGCATATCTGTTAATACAACATAATGAGGATACTGTCTTTAAGATGCCAGAGATCAAAAGGGAATTTGATCATTTACGAAGGCGGGGTTCAGGAATGACTCGTTCAAACTGTAATCGACATTCACGTTATGAATTCTGCGAAAGGTTTGACGCGTCAACTTCCCAAACGAGGCTACTCTTTGCCTAGCCATAACAAGTGAAGGCAGGTTTAAAATTTAGTTTCATGTGGAACGAGAATATTTTTCCGTCTCAGTTTCACTACACATAATTTGGGAACGGGAAGAAAATTTTGCAGTGGGCATTCCACGAAGCAGCTTCTCTTGTCCTCTGTTTCCAGGTCGAACTTTAATTTCGAATGTTAGTTTTTGTGGGAGGCGGAAAACCGGAGGAGCAACGAGAACCATCTTAACTTACACGTGACATCAGGTCCAGAACCTGGACCAGAGCGGGTAGGAATGTGAGCGGACTCACCATTGCATTGTTCCCATGTTTTTGTTTGTATAGGTAATCACACGATTTCGAGTGCAATTTGGAATAAATAAGCACAAGCAATTTTTTTCAAAGACCAACAACATTGCACAAGCCCGCAAGGCGAGTGCAATTTGTGGTCTTTGAAAAAATTTTAAAGTGCTTATTTATTCCATATTGCACGAGGAAATAATGTGATTACGTATTAATAGTATACATGAAAAAATACGAGATAGCTTATTATAATTATGCAGAAGCAAAGAGTGCGCATCAAGTGCAAAAATAATTTATTCAAACCGTGCGTTCTGCGTATCCAAATGTTGCCACATCCAAGCTCGCATTTGATTGGCTATCAGTGAGTTTCTTTGATTGACCAATCAAAATGTCTGATTTGTTACTTCTTTGCACTGAATTAACCCTCTTCTGCATTGAATTACCTGAAAACTGCTTTTATCTTAACCAATCAGAACTGAGTAATTTTCTATGTATATTATTAGCACGGAAATGTATAAAATCTTAAGATGCACGTGCAGGGGCGTTCTGTTGCTCATAAGATTTGTTGTTTCACTACGTTCTCGTAGGTGTGTTCAAGCTTTGATCATGGTCTCTAATGATTATCACATCTCAGTGTCCTACCTGTCATTTTTACTGAAATGCCGGCGTGTCGTATTTAGAGGCTTCTGCGAAGTGGTTGAATTTGTCGACCAAAAATTCTGACAGGAATCAATAGCAGCAGTGGTTAGGGGATCAACCAAGTAACTCCTCCCAGAAAGTGTACTGCACGTGTTCGATATGTCCTCGACGGTTGCTTCCACAAATTGATTTGAATCCTTTACACAATTAGAAAATAAATAAAAAAATATATTTCTGCTAGATTTAGTTTTCTTTTAGGAACATGCTGGAAATATTCAAGATTTTAACCGACAAAACATAAGACCTAAGGCACTGAAGATTACCTCTTCCGTCGATTCTCTCACGTCCATTTCTTCAGAAATCGTCAGGTAAAAAAAATGGTCTCACATACTAGTCTCAGCCAGCCCTCTTCGGGAGGAATTAAAGCTAAGCGAATATTTATACTCAACTAAAGGGTAAAATACATCTCAAGGAATTTATAAACAGTAGCCATGGAAATGGAAAAGTGCGTAACGTTTAGTCTTGTTATGCTATCGCTATAGCAACGCGGAAACTATTCAATTGCGATTCATACGGTATGGTTTAGTTACCATGACATTTCATAGCTGGTCTCATTGCAATCGGCTAAAATAATAAAATCTAGAAAGCACCAAGTGTTTGAGATATAAATACAGCTAAGGTGTGAAGATTTATGTATGTTAAAAAAAAATACCTATGGTAAAGTAAGGTTCTTTTATTTATTCCTTTTTTTCAGTGCATGGTTTTCATCACATGGTACCTGGGGTTAACATGTGATAGTGTAATCTGATCGTCTGAAGAGTGTAGTCCTGAGAAGGACTGGTGTCGGTAGTGGTGATTGACGTTTCAAAAACCTGAGCGGAAGTCATCATCAAGTGAAAAGTTGTCGTCAACCGAATGTTCTAATTTCGGTTCGTACAAACTGATTAGTCAGTTTTGCCGTAATATTATCGGTTGTAAGAGTCAATATGCGTAAGTCGGTCGGGATTGGTCCTTTTCCATCCGCTGTTAAAGTTAGGTCGTTCTGTTCGGTTCGTTTGTAGTGTTAATTTCGTGAATAGGAACTTTAATTTGTAGGGTGCCGGTGGCTGTGGTACTGAGCACCTTAGTCGATAGTAGCGTTGGGTGTCAATGGCGCTCGTCTTCTGGAGTGTCAATAGTTTACAGTTGAGTTTGTGTTGAAGTGCAGAAGTCGCACCTTTTTTATTTTAAGAAACTGAGTTTCTGTGCGAGCGAGCGAAAACAGTCAGGTCATCATCAATGATTGAATCTAAATATAGAAAGCAAGAACCAAGCACACTTCACAACGACAGATTAAGAAATCCCTAGACCCCGTTAATGATAATGATACGAGTAAAAATGATACTTCATATGATAACAACTTTGGAAATAATAATAATAATGATGATAATGATGATAAAATATGATAATAATAGCAATATTTAGAGAGATGACATCAAAATGGTACCAAGGTCAACTGGGCGGCCCTAATTATTTACTAGTAACGTCATTGTTACCAGAGAGACAAATAACAAACCAGCTGACTGCCCTCTGTTGTTTTAGAATTACCATAGCAACAACACACATCACCCCCTTTAAAACATTATACAGAGTTGTACGTGATCGTCTTAAAGCTGTTTTTTTCGGCAAAAGTCTTTCAGGCTAGTAGCAATTCAATAAAAAGAACTTTCAAATCTCATCAAACTATGCCGCTTTCCTCTCATTGGCTTTTCAAATCAGCCTGTATTTCCCATTCTTGCTGTTTTCTAGGGAATAAGGAAGTTCGCTTTGAAAGATATTAATTCTGACGTTCCATTCAGCTCGCACAGTTGAAAAAAACAACGCTCTTCTTTTAATTTGTAGAGATGAATCGCAAGGTTGGATTTCGACCACCAACAAAGAGACGAGGTATGTAAAGAAATGCCTTAATAATCCAAGATTTTTTTTTTGCCCGTTTTAAAAATGGAAAATTAACATTTTAGTTAAAGTCACAAGCACCTACTCGGAAAATAAAAATTCGGTGTTCCCCCAGCTGAGAAGCTAGAATCGAATCTATGACCTTTCGTCACTGACATGAATGGCGTGCCTCTAAATTGTATGACCATCACTTGGTCAAAACTCAACATCTTCATCGTCATCGCGGCGTAAAAGCCTCAAGGGGACTTTGTAATCTGAACGTGTGTGTGTGTGTGTGTGGAATGCTGATCACATGGAGATCTGTTGAAATGATCTAGAACAAAAACATAAAGAGAAATCACATAAAATCAAAATTGTTTTGCAAACCACGATTCCGAAAACGAAGAAAATTTTACTCGACACGAATAAGGAGCGTAATGCTTCATTTTGGTGTAAATAATACATTTTCATATGCTGGTGTTAAGATAGAACCGAGGCCTCTTCCCTTTACTAATCTATGCGTCTCGTTTTGTGTTCAGCCCCTAGCATGGATTGTTCATATTTGGAATCCAAAGTGAATCGTCCAATCTTCTACCCGTGTGACACCACACGATTCTTGTATGGACACTTGCCACCGGAGTTGATGATAATACAACCTTACAACATAACAGAGGGCAGTGTCACGGGAAATTTGCCTTTTTATTGCTACAATGGACACTTCTTTAAACCTAAAACAGAAAGGTGAGTTTTCTCTTCTCATTTGCTCTTAAAGCAGTTCCTTTATAACCCAATTTAATTTTAGTAAATGTAACTTAATTCCATTAGTCAGTTTAAGCATCGCGTTGTCATAACAATTTCACTTTCCTCAGAATTGCCTTTAAACAAGCAAACCATACAAGTAAACACAATCCAGCGGATAAAGACAAGGTAGTCTTTGACGTCCCTATTGCAACTGCTGATTCGGGCACTTCCTCAGTTCGGGTGAAGAGGGAGAAACCAGACTCTCCCCAAGCCTCCGCTCGGGCCGTGACGAATCCCAAGTCTACTCCTTTTCCGAGCATGGTAAGGCTTGGTTACCTTTCTCAGAATCAAGCTGTCGCCAACACATCAAAGATGGCTGGAAAGGTGCTCGTTCGGTTCCAGTGCACTCTCTGCTCAAAAACTTTTTCCAGATCAGGCACTTTAAAGGTAAATGTTTATTTTAGAACTTACACATTTTCCCGCGCTTGGTACTGGACGATTGTTTCTGCTTGGTTCAACTACTTAGAAAATCAAGGAACCTCTCACACACTTGCCAACGGATTTGTTCATGACAGAATATACTCGGTGCCGTAAATTAATGTTTTTACTATTTTCAGGTTCATATGCGGATTCATACTGGCGAGAAACCTTTCCAATGCCGGTTCTGCTCGAAACAATTCGCTCAATCCGGGAACCTTTCTTCTCATGAAAGGATCCACACAGGTGAAAAGCCATTTGAATGCAAGTACTGCGGAAAACGTTTTACCCAATCCTCCGCGCAGAAAAGCCATATGATGACTCATATTAACAAGCAACTGCTATGAATTCTATTTTGCACGTTATCTTACGAGTGAGAACGTCGCTAAACTGTTCTACTAGTTTTCTTTCCCGAAGTCGCTGACAAACTCTGAGAAGATTAGTGTCCTTCTCATTCTCGCGCATTTCAAATCAAATTTTGCTTTCCCCCACCCCTCCCCACAAATGAAACTTTGCTCTTCTTCAACCCTACCCATATTGCATTTCTCTCTTTTTCATTGTTGCGTCACACTTTTGAAGGAAAAGTTACCAGTAGAGGAGGAACTACATGTAAGCGTACCAATATGTATGGGCAGAAGCATATGGCCATGTTTAAGCATATGTTTCTGGTGCAAGTTGGTCACAGAAAAGTTAGTGGGGGTTATTTGTGACAATGTTAACGATAAAATGCAATATTCTTGTTTACAAGCAGTTGAACAGAAAGCATGTAATGCATTATACGTATTTCGGACACGAACAGTAGTAAAAGATTTCTCATTTTTTCTTGCACGCACACTTTGAGTTCTAATGCATTGGTTGTGTTGGGTTTGAAGATAACGACAATTTATGTAATTGTTTGCATTTAATTTTAGTTCAGATGTTTCCGTCACATGTACAGCAAATAAACTTCCTTATGCACAGGGTTGTACCACAATGCCTGTTATGATAACTTTTATTACCATTTGAATACTTACAAAGCTCAGAACTCCATTATAACAATACAACCAGTTTATGTACAATTAAAATAAAGGAACATCTCCATTCGGTTTTCTTCTACTCTTCGGTGAAAAAATAACAGTTTATTGCAATCCGGCAAACTATAGAGTCCTGCATGACAATTTTTTTAGGGTTATACAATCTTCCAACTAATAGGGTGAAGAATTCCTTGTAAAGGCAGAATAATATCCTCTGTGATGCAAGCTTAGTCCACCTCAAGAAGATTTTGTAAAAGATCCTTGTAGCTGACTAAACATACAAATTCCTGCGGACCAAGCCGCTGCTAAACAATCAAAGTAAAAAGCAGATATTAATACCATTAAAAAACCCACACAGAATCATTCTCCTGCTGTACGTTTATATAACTCCTTTCAGATGGTAGCTTCCTCAGTCAATACATCATTAAGCTTCCAATACACAAGAAGAGCAAACATTTTCAAATGCATTTTCAAAAAACAACTTTATAAACAAGCATATAACATCTTCCGTTTTCTTCTAACATTTCCCCTCCTCTCACAAACATCCTAACATCTTAAAATGTTACTATCTTACCATTGACTTGGGATCTGGAGCTGCGGCTGGGACAAACTTCTGGGTTGTGACTGTAGAAATGAAAAAAAAGAGGTTTACTAAGACAATGAACAGCTTTAGGAATGAGTTTTACTTGCTGCAAATCTTGGAAAACGCTAACAAGAAGTCACTGGCAAAGAATTTGCAGTCCAATTCAGTCCTCCATGATCAGCTATAATATTTCCTATTTTCACCCTCTTTTATTACCACGTGACTCTCGCCCCACCCCTTCCCGAGGAAGCAAAGCTATTTTCCCACCTGGAGAGTCCCTCCAGTTAAGTAGTTTTAGGAAGTGTTCATAGTTCCCTTCGTTCTTGTCGTTTCGTTCAACTCTTTCCAAAATGGCTTGGAGTAAATCCGACTTGGCGGGCACGTTAAACCTTTTGCATGCGTTGTGGAGTTCTTGAATGGGAAGGAATCCAGTTCTGAAAAAACAACAATGGAATTAGATTGATCTAAACAACAATTTCAAAATAAAATCAATGGATAACACACCCTTCACCGATAAATACAAAAGCTTATTTTAGGTTTGAATCTAATGATCATTTCCATCTCAGAAGGAAAGATTTCATTTACAACGGTTACGGCTTTCATAAATTGTAGTAGCATACGAGTACGAATTTGATAGAACAGCAATAAACAAAACATCTTGGTTCGTATCCTCACCCAAGGACATCCTCGTGTCTACATGAATCCATCATGTTGGAGAAATCTTCAAAGTTAGCTTTTCTAAGCTGTTCTTGAACTGCCACTACCAATATTTGCAAATCATCTTCTTTCTCCTGAAGCACAAAAAAAAATCAAATAAGCCGTTCTCGTACTTCAGTGAGTGGGAGAGACAAGATTAACCTTGTGTATGGGATAGGCCTCTATTGTTGCACACCCAAATTTTTTCTCAGGCTTTCTTTTTACCAATATAGCTAAGCTGTGGTCACCGAGGATATGATTGGGATTTTAAGGTGTCATTACGGCAACCACTGGAAAACGTCGCCGAAAAAAAAAACCGAACTGTCTTTCCTCTTAACAATTTTGCTACGAGATAAATGCGTTTATCGTTTCTAACGGTACGACATCTTTACGTCGGCATAACAAGTGGGAGTCGTGTACAGTTCAAAGAGAAAGGGCCCTAAATTGCTGTCGAGGTTTCCGTGCTAAAAATGCCGGCGTGGTTTTCTTTAAAATCCTAATACTCGATATAAGCCCCATTCATGTTTAAATCACTGTAATGAACCACTGCTTAATTTCAGTCCAAACTAACAAAGCCATGTAAGCCTCACGTTTGATCAATACAAGTATAGTTCTTATCTGACGAAGTAGAGAGCTCCAAACTCACCGTCAAGGCACCAAAGTATCTGGACACAGTTAATTGCTCGTGGACAGTCAAGAGATTTTGCCCGAACTTCTGTAAGATTCCCCTGTAAAGAAAAGAGGAACTTTTAAGAGTTTCTTCAACTTCTCCAAAATAAACCCAGAATATCTACGTTCTGATTGAGCCATCCTTCTTTGTCGTCTCAAATTCAAATCCCTCCTCAACATGGATTCACCTCCAACAAAATAAGGACATTGAATA